GGAAAGAGAGGAGGACTTCTCCCCAGAGCACGCTCTCCTGTCAGGAGCACTGCTGAGTGCTGCCCTGTCCCCTTATCCACTACACAACAGGCATTTTATTTCCATCTGGGGAGAAGCCAGACCCAGCTTCTGCTCAACGTGATGCTCTCCATAAAACCTACACCCCTCTCACAGCTCTTCTGAGCAATGTTGGCACGGTCAGACCTACTCTAAACCTCCTGAAATTCCAGGTAAAACTCCAGTTTCCAGGGAAATCTCTACGCTTTTGTGTGGCTTGCTGGAAGATGCAAGGAGCCTCCGAGAATGGGAAGGCTGCAATACTTACGAGTGAAAACTGCAGGCAAGCTTACCTCTCCCACCTCTAAACACGCCATTCTACATAAGCAGAATCCTTCCTCTAATTAACGATGAGCATGATGGATTAAGCGACTTCAAATACCGGATTACCACGTCCCATTTAAAGTTCTATTAGTATATTGACTCTTGCTCTGTCTTTTTTAATATCCTTGTGGAAATACTGTAATTATGTTGCTTTATATGTTTACAGATAATCTACATTCTCAATTAGTGGTATTCAGAGACTGATAAATACACTATTAATAAGACAAAGGTGATGGTACCCATGCAGGAACTTTGCAGCAAAAAAGCAGCGCTACACTTCATTTCCATCATAATAGCTCACGGTACTTACTGTAAAAGGTTTTAGTAGTCTGCTGGATTGGAAGCTACAGAAATTTAAAAAAAAAAAAATTTTCCAATTACTCCACCGGAACACACATAGGTTCAGCCGAAATAAATGAAGACATTTTGCTAAATCTCTGTAACAAAGCAAAAAATTACTCTAGATTTTTTTATTTTCAAATATGCATACTGACATGGCAATACACATGACTATCTGATAAAACAGGAAATATTTAGGACGTTGGAAAAACCCCAACGTCAGACAAATTAACTTCGAATTTAGTGGACTGGAACAGAAGTTTCACTGCAGAGCACATACACTTACTTGGAGCGGTCTGTAGAGTATTTCAAGCCTGTGGATATACTCGCCCAAAGCCCCACAAACCACCCGCTAAGTTACCAAACCTTCAGTTACAACTGCCGGAGAGAAAAACTGGGTTTGTTGCAGTTACCTATGCTAGTCGTCATTTAGTGAATTAACAGCCTTCATCTACTGAACAATGTCCTCCTAAAACCGAAATCTTTTAAAGGAGAACGTTCTGTCATTCTTGTCTGCTGGAACTGCTGGCATCCAACTCCGCAGGTCACCCAGCGGAGCAGAGGTATCGGCGAAGGACATGTTTTTAAACTCGCAGTATTGGCTTCCCCCACCCCTTTTAAACAACCATTCAAAGACTTCAGGAGAAAGCAGATGAACTCTGCTACTTCCCACTATGTCCCTTTGTGGCAGAAGCCTTCTAGAATTTCAGTAATCTCACAAAAGAGACACGCCATCGATCAACTTCCAGTAAAACTGTGCTAGTGTCCCCAAACATTACGTACCTTTTAAAACTATTAAAGACTATTATAACCAAATATTCTTCTGGGGTCACAGGGGAATATGCATAGACTCAATATTTATTATATTTAACAGACTCAATATTTCTTTTGCCAGCCTTCCAAGTAGAAACAACGTTACATATTCAATACAACTTCTTTCTCAAAACCCAGAGCAAGAAGCAGCAGTGCTCCTTTCCACCTTTCTAAACACAAACCTCATCTCTGTGTAACAAGTACAGCACAGAGGATTCAGTAAGTCGAACGTAAAAAAAAAAAAGTCACTTCAGGTACTCAAATGCAACAGAGTAATTCAAAATAAAAGTCCAATATTGCACAGTATTGTGCTGACAAAAAAGTGTCAAAAAGGTGAATTCATACACGCAAGTTCCAGACATTTTCATTTAAATTTGAGTGGTGGTAGCAGGTACACGTGCCTACGTACTTTTTTTTTCAGCCTAGACTGGCTTAAAAGTTGTTAATCTTCAAATAAAATCTATCATTCTAATATGTAATATTTTTCTTTACAAATTACCCAATTACATAGCAAAAAATGCAACCGATTAAAGACATTTCACAAAATGTAGTGAATTGAGCAAGTTTCAATGCATACTTCAAAGAACCTGTGATCACTTTTCTGCAGTTGACAGTATAGGTAGAACGGGTTGTTTTATTCACAGTATGCCAGATAATTGCCTAATATTTGTTTAGAAACACAGTGATTTAATTACGTATGGGGGGGAGGAAAAACCACCTATGACAACCAGCAATATCCTTTTTGTTCGGAAAAATAACTGGGTTTTTTATTATTTTTTAGTACCATGTAGCTGTTTATATGACTGGAAGGTCAAAGCGAAGTCCTCCAGACACATTTTGAGTAAGGGCTGCCACGTGACAAACCCATCACTGAACGGTATTCTCATTTCGAATTACTGCAGAGTCACCAGCTCGACTGAACCATAACCCTGAAGTGCTTTTAAAAGGATGAGAACGATTTATCCTGGGGACAAAAGTGAGGATCAGTGGTGTAACACACGCACCTACACAGGATGAGAGGAACAGCCTCAGACACCATTTCTGCCTATCGTCAACAGCAAACATGTTACGAAGGCAGCTGCGCTAGTTAAAATTAATCTTCTTCCAATCCTATGAGAGATTCCAAGGATCCTCCTTCCTCCACACGCAGAACCTACCCTCCCTTAGGAACGGGATGCTAATTTCCCACAGATTCACAGCCCTAGCTGCAGCCGGGAGCCATCGTCCCAGTTTCCACGGGTTACTTTGAAGTTCCTCGCAATCGCTACTCGCACCTCCCGGATGCGCGGCCGCACGCCATCTGCCCCGCGACCGGCTGCTCTGGAAATTAGCAGTCACCAACTTGAAAACTTGTAGCTTCTGTCAAGGCCCAGTTTTCATGAGCTCCACTTTAGTAAATTGCACTGCTAAAAATACTTGACGTGAGACGAGAATCTCCGCTCCAGCTGCATTTGAGACTTGATCCTAACATTTTCATATGGTAGAGGGAATCCAAGTATCTTTTAAAACAATTGTTCCAGCCAGAGTTAAGAGTGTAAAAGCAAGCTTACAAGTAAGTATCTTTTACAAAGGCAAAAAGAAACATAAAGCACCAATTCTCTTATAGGTCAAACGACTTCTGATAAAAAGGGTTCGTAATATATTTACCTCTGCTTTCTCTTCCACAAATATCGGAGACATTTTATATTAGTTTCACTGAGGAAAACATACAAGACTCAGGCTTCATTATAGCAAAGGTCAAACACTAAGATAACTCAAAGTAATTCAGAAACCACTAAAGCACTACAGAAACAAAGTACTTCATAACCTGGTATTTCGACTGTCTGAATCGGAAAAATAATTTAGAAAGTACAGAGGAACACACGTGAGGCCAAACACGTCCAAAAAAAATCTATGACTTTCAAAGACAGCTGAGACTTGGCACTTACCCCTCAGAGCAGGCAGCAGAGACCTCTCTTTCTTGTCATCACATTTATTACATTCACTGAAGTACAGAAGTAAAAAGACATCCACCAGCACCCACATGAGCGAAGTGGCTAGCACCACCTTGCAGTAAACAAATCTCCTCATTGCTTTACTCGGTTTCGAGCTCGAACGCCGAGGAAAGATGGCAGTCACCGAGCTCTGTCAAACTCCCACAGTTAAAATCCGACATGGAAGCAAAGACACGCATCTCACTGCAAGCAAAGAAAAAAAGTTTGCATTAGCTAACACATACACACAGGTTGAACTGACAAATTTACAGGTAAGTGCAGAGTGGAGATGTTTAAAGTATCTGTTTCTTTCCGTGCGTGCAGGTACTTTCTGTTTGCTCCCATCCTTCTACGAAGACCAACCATTTTGACCTGCATGTCATGGACAGCCTACAGAACCAGCCTTCATTCAGAAACACCTGCCATCGATATGCACCCTTCACGCACTGCAATAAATTTTAATAAAGATTACACAAAAAGACAACAAAGCAGTGCTAACAGACCCAATATTCATCGTTTCACTGAACATTATGCTAACTGGTATTCATCGTTTTACTGAACATTAGACATATCTTAACCCAAAGAAGAAAAGTGACCTTTTCATTTTCCTCAAGTCACGTGTTTATAATGCTATTTCAACTACAGCCTCTGAAAACTAACAGCAAATTCATTATTATCTTGCAGAAAAATTTTGACCACTGCCTTACCACCACTGAAGATGCCTTGCAAAAGAACGCTGCAGTCACTCCTCTACGAATTTAGGCTCTTGCCTGCAGCAGTAAGTTGGGTCAGCAGCAGCTGAGCGGGAGGGCCTCCACGCCTGCTCTCAGCGCAGATCTGCAGGCTAAGTGAGTGTATGTAAAAAACCCAACGCTCACCGTTACGGGCTGCATTCCAGGGCAGGGTCGGGAGCTGCGCCTCGGCCATGCTCCCAAAGCACTCTCAGCTCTGAGCCGCCGCGTGACCTCCCAACAGCCTATAAAAGAAAACAAACAGCAGAAAGCTCTTATCACTCGACGGTCTTTTCTAGAACATGAAGTTTCTCACAATTAAATAAAGCTCTCAGAAATTCTGTCCACATTTTAACCTACCTACGTTAGTTAAATGTAGTTTTACACAAGCATTTTTCCATCTTAGCCCTGAAAACCCCTCACCTTCCCAATCCGGCAGAACCACCACGGGTAACTTTCCTGGTTTTAACTCCTCGTTCCCAGCCTGGCTTCCCCCGCACACCACCTCTCCCCGAGACGGGGCTTTGGGTCCGACGCAGTCCCGGTCCTCCCAAAGGGATCTCCCCAAGCAGCAGGCCATCAGGGCTACTCCCGCGGCACGCAGGGCGGTGACAACCAGGTAGCTACTCCAATTTCCCTCCTTGTCTGAACAGCAGCTTACCAGGTGAAAAATAGTGCCAAGGGAGCTTCCGCAGGAGGTCATTTCCCTTTTAAATAATTCCCACCTATGAGAAATTTACGTTACGTTTTAATTACAGGTCGTTTGAACCAATGAGATGGAAGAGATGGAATGATTTAAATATAGTTTTTCAGATTATTCTTGAAGCGCTATTTCACTATGTAATCATTAATAAAGCTTTCCATCTGTCTTAAATATAAACACAACCAATAGCTCATTTTCTTGCTGACGTGATTCACAGCCAGTTTTTTTAAATTTTCAAGGGCTCAAGAATACACGTTTCAGGTTAGCACAATTCATTTTCATGCTAGTCA